AGTTAGGATGTGAGGGCAATCTGGCTGTGACATCTGTCACCCCACTGATCACCAGGATTGATCTGGCTGGCTAGGCAGGTGTCCCCTTCCTCCTTCACTGCTCTACGTGTGTCCCTTCAAAGCTGTGGGCTTGGTTGACCTCCACTGAATAAAAGAGGACCTTTTTTGGGTCACAGGTATATGAGTAGCTGCGCTCCCCTGCTAGAACCTCCAAACAAGCATTCACTTGGGTTTTTTGTTTTGTTTTGTTTTGTTTTGTTTTTTGAGACAGGGTTTCTCTGTAGCTTTGGTGCCTTTCCCAGAACTAGCTCTTGTAGACCAGGCTGGCCTCGAACTCCCAGAGATCCGCCTGGCTCACTTGGTTTTTATGTTAATGCATATGGTAACTGTTTTTTCCCCATTGGCTGGGGTCTGTCACAGTCCTTTGCCATTGGCTAGTTTAAAAAGAACCAGCACGGAGGAGAGGGGAAAGGAGTCAGCTACTACTGGTCAAGTTCTGCGAGGAGGGCAGTTACCAGATGAGGGAAAGGTTGAGATTAAAAGAAGTGCATATGAATTTTACAAGGTGGGTGAAGATTATTGGCCCTTGGTGGCAAACTATCTGATGAAAGAAAACCATTTCTCACAGTAGCACAGGTTATATTTTTCAGTCTCAGAGATCATCATGAATTCCAGTGGTGAGTGACCTGTAGTTTATATCCATGTTGTATTGGTCCTCCATCATGTTTGTCATTGAAGCACTTGACTCAGCCCTGGAGGTCCACACGAGGTCACAGCTTCCTAATAACAAGGCTGCTCTCCCTTATCCATGTTACATTCCACTACAGGAAGCTTTTCCCCTAAGACAATACCCATAGGCTAGTGTCACCTTCTGAAGAGCCTCAGATGTGTGGGTGCTGTGGTGGTGTGTGAATGTCCAGGGCCTGTGGAAAACCCTTTGAGTTTTCCATGAGGATTGACCAGACTCTTGTTTTTGAAGTAGGTCTTGCTGTGTTGCCCAGACTCGTTTTGAGCCCTAGAATAATAGCTATCAGGTGCCTGTCTTCTGTCGTGAATATTATATCAGTTCTTGCAACTTGTTTTTAGAAATTTTGCCAAGTGGTGGTGGTGCATGCCTTTAAGCCCAGCACTTGGGAGGCAGAGGCAGGCGGATCTCTGTGAGTTCGAGACCAGCCTGGTCTACAAGAACTAGTTCCAGGACAGGCTCCAAAACCACAGAGAAACCCTGTCTCGAAAAAACCAAAAAAAAAAAAAAAAAAAAAAAAAAAGGTGAGAAACAGAGGAGGCAGATATCTGTGAATTCCAAGCTAATCAGGGCTGAGAACCTGGGGTAGCAAGATGGCTCAGCAGGTAACGGCACTTGTCTGACAGATGGGTCCCATCCCCAGGACCCACTTGGCAGAAGCTGTTCTTAGGCACACACATCCGTACGTGTAATAGAGGAGATAAGCACTTTCCCCACTCCACTATTCCCTGGCTTTAGCATCTGAAGGATTTCATAATGACATCTTCTAGGAGTTATGGTATGATGATCCACCCCTAAAATTCTAGCATCTGAGAGGCTAATGCAGGCAGACTGCTTAAGACCATTCTGGGCTCCAGGATGAAAGCCTATATTGACAGACATATTTATTCTTTTGGCAGCCAGGTATCACAATATTTATGTAGCCCAGAGTGACCTGGAATTTACCATGGAACCCAGGCTAGCCTTGAACCTTTAATCCTCTTGCTTCAGCCTCTAGCAGATAGTGACTACAGGTATGTACCAATATCCAGGGAACATTCTGCTTTTGACATGGTGTTGTGATTATGGCAAAAAAAGCATCTTTGGCAGTGCTGGGATTAAAGGCGTGCGCCACCACCGCCCGGCTTGTTTCTCACATTTTTGATAATTTTTTTTCATTAGCAAATCATTGTCATTGGCTTATAGATCAGAATGAACTGTTTTTCAGAGACTTTTGTTTGCCTGGGGAGAAGCACTTGCCACACTAGCTTAAGGACTTGGGTTTGTTCCTCAGAGCCCATGTGAACAGCCAGGAATGGTGCACACATTTGTAACCACAGTGCTAGAGAGAAGGACATACTTAACTACCTGGAGTTCACTTACCAGCTAGCCTAACTAATTGGTAACCCTAGGTCCCAGTGAGAAATCCCCAAAATCAGAGTAGATGGCTTCTGAAGAATGACACCCAAGATTGGCCTTGGGCCTCCATGCATATATATGTGTAACACACATGCACATAGACATATATGCCAAAAGGAGGAGGTGTTTTTCTTAGTGTGTAAATAGGGCGAGAATACTCTGAAATTAATTTGGTAACTTTCAGTCTTACAGGTAGTATATAGCAGAGCCCTGACACTTTTTTCTTTAAAGGCAGTCTCACATTCACTCAGCTTAGGCTGATATCAGCCTTGGCTATCCTACTGCCCTGCCTCCTGTGTGCTGGGGTGGCGCATGTAGACCACCACACCTAGCTTTATTGTGGTGGTGGTAGTTGTTGTTTTGTGCTGTGTGTGTCTGTGTGTGCATGAGAGGTAGGCACATATATGTACGTGCGGCAGTCGGGACAACTTTGCTGTAGAGTCATTTCTCCCCTCCCGCCTTTTCTTGGCTTCTGAAGATGGAATTCAGGTCCCCAGGCTTGCACAGCCAGTACCTAACCCTCCAAGCCATCTTACTCATGGCTCCGATATTTTTTTGATGAGCATATTTTCATTTACATGCTGACTATTTGTATTTTCTGTGGAGTAATATCTATTCAAATCTTTGTGCTTTTGTAGAGGACTCCATGTCAGGTGCTTGTCTGGTCTAGGGGGATCTGACACCCCTGGGCTCCTTAGACACCCATAGTCACAGACATACCCACACACATATACACAATTAAAACAATCAAAATAAATATTAGTAACAGTAAAGAGTAATGTGTCTGTATCTCTGTGGTAGAGTATTTGCTTGGCATGGCACAAGGCACCATTTCTAGTCACAGGAAGGACTAGATCAGTTGCTGCTTCCAGACTCTCTTTCTAGCCTTTTCTGACTGTCTCCATAGGTCCATCTTCCTCAGCAGCAGCAGGGTTTGTTTTCATTCTGTGTTATTGACTCGGTACTTAATGTATGTAATGTGTATAACTGTTGTTATATCTAACATAGCCAGCAAGCGTTGACCACGATGGGACTGCTGAATGTTAACTGTCTAACCGCAACAAAGATAGGGAAGTTGCTTAAGAATAAGGAACTGCCTTAAACTGATCATAGAGTCCTGGCAGAAAGGGAGTGTTTTTCAGTGTCTTGCACACACTATTCTTGTTTTCCTGTTATCTTTAACCTACTATACCCATTAGAATTATTTATTAGACATTGTTTTCAGGTCTTTCTCATCCATCACTCTGTTTGCTTTTATGGATTTTTTTTTTTTAAGAGTTATTTGGTTAGTTGGTTTTGACTTGAGACAGGACTTGAAAAAACCAACAGTGCTGGCTTTGAACTCCCTTTGTAGCCAAGACTAACCTTGATTTCCTGATCCTCATTTCTTCACCTTCCAAGTGCTGGTTTATAGACACACACACCACACAACATGTAACTCTGTGTGTAATTTTTTTCTTTTTTTTTTTCCTTTTTTTACATCTGCCATTCTGAAATGCCATTTTTCTTGTGTATGGTCTCCTCCCCTGTCCTTTTTGGTATGGAGACTCAAACACTGTGACTTAGGTGTGCTAGGCAAGTGTTGTACCAGCAAACTGTATACTCCTACCTCTGGCTCCCTTTTGCCAGTTTTAATAGGACTCCTGTTACAAAGTTGGAAAATACTAGTTAAGGGCCAGCCACGAGGCTCAGTGAGTAAAGGTGCTTGCTGCCTAGCCTGGGGACCTGAGTTGTCCCTAGGACCCTCTTGGTGGAAAGAGCTGACTCTTTTTTTTTTTTTTTTGAATTATTTTTTTTATATTTATTTATTATATATACAATATTCTGTCTGTGTGTATGCCTGATGTCCAGAAGAGGGCACCAGACCCCATTACAGATGGTTGTGAGCCACCATGTGGTTGCTGGGAATTGAACTCAGGACCTTTGGAAGAGCAGGCAATGCTCTTAACCTCTGAGCCATCTCTCCAGCCCCAAGAGCTGACTCTTGAAAGCTGCCATTTACACAGTAAGCCCTCTACACACTGATACGTGCACACAATACACACAAATAGATACATGTAATAAACATTTTTTAAAATCTATGGTTATGATTGTTTTGCCTGCATGTAAATCTATGCACTACTTGCATGTCTGGTGCCAAAACTAGGCATTGTATCCCCTTGGAAGTAAAGTTACAGACAGTTGTGAGCTGCTGTGTGGGTCCTGGGGATTGAACCTGGGTCCTCTGGAAAAGCAGCAAGTTTTTATTTTGAGACCCTACTTTATAGAAAATTATAATGGGCAGAAGAAATTGGGAATGGCATGAACAACATGAAGTCTTGGTACACATGCAGTCTTGCAAGTGGTGATAGATCTTTTTTCTTTTTAACCAAAAAAGATCAAAAGTAGATTGTCAGAACAGTGAAGGTTAGTGTGTCAGTGGTAGCACACCTTTGAAGTACACTGTTAAAGCAATATGGTTTCAGTTTTTTGAGACAATATCTGTACATCCAGGCTGGTCTGGCCTTCGCCTTCTGTGTGCTGGGTCTATGAGCACCAGGCCTGGCTACTTCCTACCCTTCTATGCAACTTAACATATCCATGTATGTTCATTTATTAGTGACCACATAAATGCGTGACCATTTATTAATGGTGGTTGCTTTGTGCTCAGAAGCTGCTTCACGAATGCTTGCCACCTGAGAGGTGTCCTAGGTATGCTGATGGTATCTTGTGTCTCTCTGTAGTACTTGATTTTCAGGTCCACACACTGAAGAGAAAATTTAGTCTTAGTCTTTGGATAGATAGCATTTGTGATATAATGTAAACTGTCTTTCTTGTTTGCACAGTGATGCTAATTTTGTCTTTTCTATTCCTCCAGGTTGGTGACATTGTGAAAGTCACAAGGATGAATATAAATGGCCAATGGGAAGGCGAGGTGAATGGGCGCAAAGGGCTTTTCCCTTTCACACATGTTAAAATCTTTGACCCTCAAAACCCAGATGACAACGAGTGATTGCTGTTGCTGTCCCTGCTGCTGCCTTGTCCTGCCTGTCATAATCTCCTTTGAAGTGGGAAGCACTCTCCCATGCAAGTCACAGCGAGCTGCTGGGCCACTCCCACACATTGGTGGTCTCCTGCACATTTGGAATGCCTCCAGCGGCTGCCTCTTGGCATTTGTATCATAGTCATGCTGTCAAAGAGTAGCTGATTTTAGAGTTCTTCTGGATTATAAACTGGAAATACTGGCGGAAGCACACAAGTCAAGAGAATTGAACACAGAAAGGGTCTTCCTTCTCATCGCTGCCTTGTTTATACTTGAGGCTGACTGTTGTGCTCGCCATAGAAAGTGTGGGCCTGCTGATGGTCCACTCAGAGGGTTAGCCTCGGCAAGCTCTTGCTGTTGCCGGGCTGTAGAGCAGTGGCTGTGCCATCAACTTGTTTTTCTTTGAACAATAGAGGAAGTAAACTCCAGACAGTTCTGTCCAAACTCCTGAAATTTGGCTTGTTTCCACTTTCTTTTGTTTAGCTTTGGTTTTGGAAGACTAATTCATTAGAGTTGTGTGTGTTCTGAACAGATTTTTAAATAGTAGGTTGGATTTTTGTGATAGTCTAAGGAACAGTGCGTGTCCCTGAGCTTCCAAACTGAAGCTGCTGTATGTAACTAAAGGAAAATGAAGACACCCTGAAGCAGAGGCCTTTATCTTTTGTTACCTTGTGTACCGCTTGGCAAACAAAGCCCACACAGCAGCAGCCATGGTGTGCCGTGCTGTGTGCAGCCGGGAAGCACCAGGGCGAGCCACTGATGATCTGTGGAGACTGTTGCTGTCACAGTTGCCATTGATAGGAGCAGAAAGAGTGGAGCGCTTGGTCAGTTCTGTCTAGCTTTTCAATGAGTACACCCCTTTAAGAACTAAAATTAAGTTTATAGAATTAGTGCATTCAGCACAAAGTCCTGTTGGCCCCTCCTGTCCAGGCTGCATGAAAGTGGTGGTGCTGTCTGTCCTGCTTCCATAGCCTAAGTGGAACAGAGCACAGTGCTCCTGAGCAAAGAAAATGCAGGCTCTGGAACCCCTAACCCATATACCATGAGCCAACATGCAAGCCAGCTGATACAAATGTGTGTCTGACCCCTCATCCACACAAAGTATGCTCTGTTTCAGCTGAACCCTGATGAGGACACACAACACCACAGCAGTCGCAGAAATGTAGCGGTGACTTAGTGAATAGTTCCAGCATTTACAGAACAGCTAGCTGTAACTGTGACCCTGGCTCTGAGACTCTTAGGCTGTGAGAACCAAGGGAACATATCCTGGAGGCAAAACTAACACAGCCATTTGTCTGCTATATTTATTCTCTTAAAGACTTTTTTGTTGTTGTTGTTTAATGTTGTGTATATTGGCATGGTAGCACACACCTTTCTTTAATTCCAGCACTAGGAAAGGCTGAGGTAAGCAGGTCTCAGAGTTCAAGGCCAGCCTGCCTGATCTATGTAGTGTGTTGTAATCTGGACAACCAGATGGATATAGACTGTTTCAGAGCCCCCCACCCCCTAAAAAAGTGTATGGGCGTTTTGCCTGCATGTATGAATGTGCATCCCATAGGTGCAGTGCCTAAGGAGGCCAGAAGAGAGTGTTGGATCCTCTGGAACTGGAGTCACTGTGTGGGTGCTAAGAATTGAACCTGGGTCCTCTGTAAGAGCAGCAAATCTCTTTAAATCAGTATCCCATCAGGCTGATAAGTGCCATATTTTAGTGTTCATGTGACAAAATGGTTATTTGGGGTTTGAGGGTAGTATCATGTCTACCTATCTGTGTCTTCCTAGATGTCAGCTCTTTTCCATCTCTGGAAGCTGCCGTTTTTTTTAGCCAGATCTATTGAGTGAGCCCCAAACTGCCTAGAACAATACTTGCCCTCTGGCTAGTGGCCAGCCCGAGGCCTTTTGATACCTGCACTGAGTACATGCCTTGTTCACAGAGGACACAGCCTCCAAGGAATCGCACCCCATCACTGGGGCTTGAGCCTCATGCCTTACACATGCTAGGTAAGCCCTCTACCACTGAACTCTTCTTTAAATTTTGAGATGGGATTTCCATAAATTGCCCGTGCTGGCTTTGAATTTTCCATCCCAGCCCCAGCTGAAATTACAAACGTTTGAGGCACCACACCCAGCTCTTAAGGTCTTTTCAAACTACATTTAACTGAAGGGCTTGGGTGTCTTGATTATAGCAGCCTGCTCAGTGCAGGCAGCCGCTTTTGAGAATAGGATTTCCCTTCTCAAGTCTGTTGATGAACAAGACTCCATGTAGATTCAGGATCAAAATGCCCCATAAACCTGGAGTTTGGTTTATAAAACCAGCTAATTTGGCCAATGTTTCTACAGCTCCCTCAGGTGGACATAAGACTTAAGTTCTGAACTCAGGATATGTGCCAAAAGTAGTAATTTCCTGAATTAGAAGCTTGTCAGTTTATTAATCAGGAAAATTTTCCTTTCACACTGATAGAAAGTGGCATCTTACTAGGTCCCACTCTCTGGAAAGACATGTAGCCTCGGAGGGGAGTGGGATCCAGGGATGGCTTTCCTTCTGTGACGGTCACTGCATGGGCTGCTCTGCTGTGTTAGACTGGGATGACAACCCTCTCACTTTTGCTGTTGTGTCTGAGAAGGGAATGACTAGGTTGCCAGGGCACAGACGGCTAGATCAAGTCCTGTCACCTGGGCAGGACCTCCCTGCAGAAGGCATCCTTGGCACTCTGCACTGCTTTGACGCCACCTGTTGCAGGGTTAACAGGGTGCACGGCTTTGGTCACCCAGACTCAGAACCCTCTGTGCTCACCGGAAGAGACTCTGTGCCCTCCCTTGGAGTTGCACGTTCCTGGCACTGTGCCAGCCTTCCTCTACACCTGTTTACAGACAAGATGGGCCAGGATTGATGGCCACTGCTCTTGTAACTTTTGCTCAGAAGAATAATGAGCTTTTTTTTTTTTTAAGGGATGATGTGTTTTTGTTCTAGGTGTTTATAATTTAATCTTTTAATATTATGTTCATTAACCTCTTAAAATGAGTGAATTCTTGATTGTTTTAACACAGTACCTAAGACTAATGCTTTCTGTGGCCTCCTCACCACAGGACCAGAGAACCACATCCCTGGTAACTGCTGTGAGTGTGGACACTGAGCTGCTTGTATATTCTAAAGGAGCAGGAGGACAGTTCTCTGAGACAGGAGGAACAGTGGCCTTGCTTCTAGACGGTCTTCACTGTGTGTTTTAAAATGACATAAAACTCTTTTGACATGTATAACTTAAAGATCATAAGTGTCAGGCAATAATATTTTCTGTGTAAGCTTTTAAAATTATTTTTGGGGATTATAGCTTGTTTTATTTTGTGCTATAAAATTAACAGTATTAAATGACTTATATTCTTAGAATACAGTGAGTGTCTTTTCTTAACAGATTAGTGCCTTTTTATTTTTGTATTCCATTTTACGTTACTGGTCCCAGCATCAAAACCCTTGTTTCCATGGCCTGTTTGTACATTGTCTCAATAAAACTTGCACCAGCTGGCGGTGGCAGCAGCCTCGGTGTTTCAGTGTCTCCTCAGTCAGCCCCCACCAGCCTCTCCCGACGTGAAACTGGCGAAGTCCCTGGTAGTCACAGAAACTTGCTCATGCTGCTCCCGCTTCCCTCACCCCACAAAGGCAGCTTCTTATTCTGGGAAATACCTGTTCTCTGGACATGGTGGGAGCTCTGGGACTCAGCCTCCAAGCAGGGGTGCAGGCTCTGCTCTGCTGAGGGCTGTTGAGCATGAGCTAAGCAGAGATGCTTGGTGGTCAGGGAAGGTAAGCGATCCTGTCTGCTGTCTGCTGCCATTCCTTTCTAGATGTACACCTCCTTGTGAGCTTTGGGGATCTCTAGGAGGGAACTTTGGTGTCGGCGGCTTGCTTAAAAACCTCACAAATTGCTGGGTGGTGGTGGTGATGCACGCCTTTGGTCCCAGCTCTTCTGCCTCCCAATAGGCAGAGGCAGGTGAATCTCTGAGTTGGAGGCCAGCCTGGTCTACAGAGTTCCAGGGCAGGCAGAGAAACTCTGTCTTTAAAAAAAAAAAAAAAAAAGACTCACAAACTCTGTGGTAGTTATAGTTTAGGGCTCCTCTCACAAACTCTGTGCGAGTAACAGTTTAGGACTCCCCTCACAAACTCTGTGCGAGTAACAGTTTAGGACTCCCCTCACAAACTCTATGCGAGTAACAGTTTAGGACTCCCCTCACAAACTCTGTGCGAGTAACAGTTTAGGACTCCCCTCACAAACTCTGTGCGAGTAACAGTTTAGGACTCCCCTCACAAACTCTGTGCGAGTAACAGTTTAGGACTCCCCTCACAAACTCTGTGCGAGTAACAATTTAGGACTCCCCTCACAAACTCTGGGAGTTATAGTTTAGCGCTCCCCTCACAAACTCTGTGCGAGTAACAGTTTAGGACTCCCCTCACAAACTGTGCGAGTAACAGTTTAGGACTCCCCTCACAAACTCTATGCGAGTAACAGTTTAGGACTCCCCTCACAAACTCTGTGCGAGTAACAGTTTAGGACTCCCCTCACAAACTCTGTGCGAGTAACAGTTTAGGACTCCCCTCACAAACTCTGTGCGAGTAACAATTTAGGACTCCCCTCACAAACTCTGGGAGTTATAGTTTAGCGCTCCCCTCACAAACTCTGTGGTAGTTACAGTTTAGGACTCCCCTGCTGTTACCCAGGAAGCACATTTCATCTTTTATGTGCATTTTACTCTCACACCTGTTTATGTGTGTATCAAGAAATTCAACCAACCCCTTAAACCTTGAATCATCTTGCCTGCCAGTGCTGGAATTGTGGGCATGTGTAGGCACACTCAACGTCTTCTGTGAATTAGAGGGTGATGAGAAGCACTGCTTGGCAGGCCTGCACCTGAGCTACCCAGACCTCCAGCATCTGGGAGATTCAGACCTCAGCGCTTTTATCCCTCCACCCTGGTTCTGAGTAGTGGATACCAGTGCTGGAGGTTGAAGTAGAGAGAGGTTACACCCTCTCTGGGCAAGGGGCTGTAGTTCTAATGCCGCCTGAATTAAAGAACTAGGTCTCATAGGGTTCAAATTGGCCCTGCGCTTCCCCATCACCACCATTTATTGCAGAGACAACCCACCAATGAGCCTTTAGGCCTGGGCACCCTCAGCCAAGCAGCCTGCAAATGAGGTGGGGGCTGGACCATGCATAGAGCTTCGCTCCCCAACTCGGTACCGGAAAGGTTTGCTCCAAACCCCTCTGCTCACCCTTGGGTCACCTGGACTTGAACCATAAGCCTCACTAGCCAGTTCTTGTGACGCCCACTTGACCGGACACTGCTTCCCATACACCCAGCCTACAGAAAACTACAGCTATCAGTGACCACCCCCTGCTTCCCAAGTGTGGGGACAGCAAACCTTGCATCCTGAAATGGACAACCTGGCCTTGGTCTGGGGTGAGGGTGAGAGGACCCCACACTGGGCAAAGGTAGAGACCCCGGAAGGATTCAAGCTTTCTGGATGCTCCCTATTGCCCTCATGGGGCTGGGCGTGGGGTGGAGCTGGCAGGGTCCGGTGGGACCATGGCTCCTTATATTATGTCTCTGAATCAAACTAGCCTCTAAGGGGTGCTGTGTTCTCAGTCCAAGAGCCAGATGTTGGGAAAAAGTCACTTTTTCTTTTGTTTTCCTTTTCCTTTCTGTCTTTCTTAGAGATGGTTCAGTGGTTAAGAGCATTGCCTGCTCTTCCGAAGGTCCTGAGTTCAATTCCCGGCAAACACATGGTGGCTCACAACCATCTGGAATGAGGTCTGGTGCCCTCTTCTGGCCTACAGACATACACACAGACAGAATATTGTATACATAATAAATAAATAAATATTTAAAAAAAAGATTTATTTGTTTATGTATATGAGCACTCTACTTGCATGTATGCCTACCTGAAAGAAGAGGACATCAGATCCCACTATAAATGGTTTGTGAGCCACCATGTGGTTGCTGGGAATTGAACTCATGACCTTTGGACGAACAGCCAATACTCTTAACCACTGAGCCATCTCTTCAGGCCTCTCTGTCTTTCTTATTTATTTCACTACCATCATTTTATGAGGCAAGGTCTCTCTATAGCTCTGGCTGCTCTGGAATCCCTGTCTTAAAGGAGTGCACCACTGCACCTGACTTTATCTTTTCCCCCTTTGTTTTGTTTAACTTTGTGATACAGCCCAGGCTGGCCTCAGACTTCTGATGTTCCTGCCTCCACCTCCCAAGTTCTGGAATTGGTTTGTGCCACCAAGCCTGATTCATTCATCGCCAGGACTTCGTGCATGATAGGCGAGCACTCTACTGACTGAGCTACATCCTGGCCTCTAGCTTTTTCTTGGCTGAATAAAGATGGTCCTGCACCCCTCTGTTGGAAACCTGAGTGGGGAGCACCGAGGGAGGCAGAAGCTTGCTTCATGACAGGGGTGCCCTGGGGTTGGGGAGCAGTATGAGGCTCCCCATTCTCCTAGACCATGAGCAGACCCCACACTCATTACTTCAGCAAACCAAACCTTGTGTCTGGGGGGATGTTCAGTCATTCCAACCCTGTGTTTGCTATTGTCAGGATGCTGGAATGTGCCACCTCACCAGAATCAAGACTAGGACTTTGGCTGCAGAGTTCAGCATCTTGCTGGGTCTTCCTGAGTTCTCTTGTCACATGAGCCACCTGACGTCTGATGGCCTTTCCGAAAGTAGCTGTCCTAACTAGTTCCGGGTTTAGTGTTTGCTCTATGAAGCTCTTGCCACTTCTGCTCTACAGGACAGCAGGGACCTGAAGCCTAATACCCTAGGCCCCAAGGGTACCATAATCTTACTCCATGCCAAGATTTCTTCCCAAGTGGTCATCTTCACAGCCATTACACTTGTCCCCTTCCAGTTTCAGCTTTGGTACCTCAAACTCAGCAGCCCCTGTTCCGCTTCCTAAAGTACCTACATGCCTGGCTCTACATCTGTCTTGTTCTGCCAGCAGTCACGGGGAAGCTGCAGTAGATCGTTTTGCAAACTGTAGGACTTGGATGCTGTAGGGTTTCCATTGCTACAACAGGATACCATGACCAGAAATCAAGTTGGAGAGGAAAGGGTTTGCTTGGCTTACACTTCCACACTGATGCTCATCACTGAAGGAAATTGGGACAGGAACTCAAGCAGGATGGGATCCTGGAGGCAGGAGCTGATGCAGAGGCCATGGAGGGGTGCTGCTTACTGGCTTGATCCTCATGGCTTGCTCATCCTGCCTTCCTATAGAACCCAGGTCCAGCAGCCCAGGCATGGCACCACCTACCATAGTCTGGGCTCTCTTTCACTGAACACTAATAGAGAAAATGCCTTAAAGCCGGATCTCATGGAGGCATTTCCTCAACTGAGGCTCCTTCCTCTCTGAGGACTCCACCTTGTGTCAGCACAATCCTAGCCAGTACAGGGTCCCTAACCTCTCTGAACCTCAGTTTCCCCATCCTCTGACTAGCGGTGAAGAGTAAAGGCTAATCAGACCTGCTGGAATATGACTGCAATCTTAGTTACTCCAGAGACAGTTGAGAAGATAGTTCAAGGCCTAACAGTCAGTACAAAGCTAGTCTGGGCAATTTAGTGAGTCCCTGTGTCAGAATGAAAATATAAACAGCTGGACAGTGTTTGTGCACGCCTTTAATCCCAGCATTCTGGAGGCAGAGGCAGGCAGATTTCTGTGGGTTCAACCAGCTTGGTCTACATAGTGAGTTCCAGGACAGCCAAGGTTTATACATAGAGAAAACCCTGTCAAAACAAAACAAAACAAAATAATGGTTGAGTATAGAGGTTAGTCGCAGAACAGTTTTCTAGCATAAGTGAGACTGTGGATTGAAACCCCATAACTTCAAAAATAATAAATAAAAAAATAGTAAATCAAGCTGCATATGGGGGTGCTCAACTCCTCAGGAGGCTGAGGCTTAGATGGCAAGTTTCGGATAGGAAGGATGGCTCAGTGATTAAGAGCGGTTGCTGAGCGGTTCCCAGCATCCACATGGCAGCTCACCAACAATTCCAGAGGACCCAACGCCCTCTTCTGGACTCCACAGGCTCTGCATGTATCTGGCGCATAGACATACAGAAGCACATGGAATAAAAATATATTTTTAAAAAGATTTCATACAGGTTGTGATGGTATATACTTTTAATCCCAGCACTCTGGAGGCACAGACAGGCAGATCTCTGTGAGTTTGAGGCCAGCCTGATCTATACAGAGTATTTCCAGGTCAGCCAGAGCCCTATACAGCTAGACCCTGGTCCAAACGACTCAGCTTGAAGGATGTAGCTCCAGCTTGAACAGGCTCTGGGTTCAGGCCCAGAACCTAGTACAGTGGCAAAGGCCTAAAATCCCAGCCCTAGGGACAGAGAGGCAAGAGGTAAGAAGTTCAAGGTCATCCTGGGTTACGTAGCAAGTTTAATGCCAACTTAAGCTAAATGAGATCTTTTGTTTCTTTTGTGTCGCCTACCTTGGTCACATCCACCTCCAATTCTCCGTTCCACACCATGACTACCCTCCTCCTTCATGGCCTTTCCTGGTGAGAGTGATAAAGCTCCTGTCCAGCAAGGGCAAGGCCCTGGCTTCCATCCTCAGCTCTGGGGGAGAAAAAGACAAAATAGCAGTCTACTGAGTCAACTAGTGCTGCCTGCTGGAATGTTGGCTGATCTCTGTGGAGGCTCTTGTGCTGGATTTGAGCAGTTAGCCATAGCTTCAGGGAGTTCATGAGTGCAGTGACTGTCGTGTCCAGAAAACAGTACTTCGTAGCTCTCCTCCCCGTCCTTCAGATCTTACGTTCTTTCTTCCCCCTCTTCCGCATTTCCCCCTGAGCCTTGAGGAAACGGGGATTGACAGAGACAACCCGTTCATGGTTGAGCATCCCGCGGTCACGTATTCTCAGCATCTTGGCTAACTATGAGTCCCTCCTTCAATTGTTGGCCACTGCGGAGCGCAGCTTCTCTGGCCGCTAATGCGTATAGACATAAATAATTAGAAGGCAATTTGACACTTCCATCCAGCAAGACAGCAAGCAGTGCTAGGATCTCCTAGGGCCTAGGGCCTGCCTGGCCATGGACTTTTAACCACTTGCATTCTCTCCTGAGGAGCAGGCCCTAAATCCAACGGTAAAGTGTTTGGTTACCCCGCGATTTTCGTGCCACTGTTCCGTCAGTGGGTGTGGTACTATAGCACAAAGGTGAGACCACCGGTGGCTTTTCTTCCCCAGTGGCCTGTAGGGCACCTCCCGTCTCTGTGAGAACTAGCTGGCAGAGAGGAAGTTTCCAGTTTGATTTCTGCGTGTCCTGCAATGAAAGTGTGTGGTGCCTTCAGCCACAGTTTTACCATCTAGTCATGGTGGGCAACCAGGAGCAGTGGCAATAGGTAGTTTTTGTTGTTTTTTGTTTGTTTTGTTTTTAAGTGCATATGAAGTCACAGCTTTCGTTGTTTTTCTTGCTAAGATGAGGCTAGAGGCACAAAATTATCAATGTGGATATGAGGCCAGCTGGTTTGAGGTCAAGAGCATCAGGCCCCAGCACAAGCATGCCTCCAGTGATGGGCCTCTTCAATGGGGGGCAGCATTCATGATAGAAACCAAACTCCCTGCCAAAGAGGACTGTCCTGAGACCTCCGCTTCTGTGCCCTGGGCAAAAGTCAGTCCCTGGGGCCATCTTTCCCTCTGTAAAATGGGTTGGGACGGAGCAGGCAAGCACCGCTTACTCCCAGCAGGCCTGTGGCCCCATGTATTTAGCAATAACAGAAATACTTCCCTGAAGTGCTGCCACTGGTTATAGTTCTAGGACAACCTCTAGGTGACCACAGTAGCTCAGAGACGGAATGGGATGGGCTGAGAAAGACAGTGAAATATCCAGAAAAAGTGGTACTCCGACCTGGGCAGGCTGGCCATGGCTTCAGGGAGGGAGGGCACCATGACGACTCCCGGGAAATTCTCCTCAAATACTAACAGGTTGGGAAAAGAAAATGGAATAAAACGTGACATGTGTGCCAGTGTGGTGAGATCTAGGAGACCTCGGAGGGTCATGGCTTGTGTTTTCTTCTTCCGGGACATTTCATCCAGAAATTTAACCTCCACCCGGCCCCCGCCGAACAAGGATGGTTTGGCGACCCACACCCTGTGCGCAGTGTCTCTGGGGGATCTCGGGGGTGACTCAGATGCAGCCCGGCTGTCATCTCTTTCTCCCTCTCGGCAGGTGGCTGGAAGCTTGACGTTGACCCTACTTTGCTGCGGGGCGGGGCGGACGCCTCGGGCTCGGGGCCCCGCAGTGTAGCCGCAGCGCCAGCCCCGCCCCCGCCCGCTCCGCCCTGCAGGCCGGCCGCAGCCGGGCTCGGATCCCGAGCGCCTGCCCGCCCGCTCTCCCGCTCGCCCGCCCGCCAGCCCGCGTTCGCCGAGCCAGGTGAGCGCGCCTGGCTCTGTTCCGCACGCGCCCCGCGCCCTCGCCTTGCGCGCTAGCCCATCTCTACCCTGGCGGCCGAGTGGGGCACTCAGGAGGCCGGAGCGACCCCGATCCTTGCTGCTGCTCCCCAGCACCCCTTTCGGCTGTCTGGAGTCCCCCACCTTGTGCTGGTAGGTTGGTTGTCGGCTGCGTTTCGCAAGGGAGTCACAAAGAAGCCGGTAAGGGTGCTGGAAAAGGCTTCCCAGACTGAGGAAATTGCACGTGCCAAGGCAGGGAGAGTGGACAGGACGTTGGCGTCAGCACCCACCCGCCTAAATGTGAATCACAAGCTGAGGCGCTCCAAGGCAGCAGTCCCCAGGGCACCTGAAGCCACCCAGGGCCTAGGCTAAGCAGGGAAAAAACCCGACCTCCCACCCAACACACACCAGGAGCAAAGAGAGGGACCTGGATGGGCAAAAGAAGCAGGTTTCGGGCTGGCCTGTTTCCAGGAGGGTCCTGGGGGCCATGCGGAGGACCTGGGAACCTCTGTGAGGTGGGGTAACTCAGAACCTGCTTCAGGTTGCTGAAGTTCTTGGGACATGGATGCAAGCTTATAATGCGAAGTGTGTAGCAGGCAGTGTTAGAACTTTTCTGGGCAGCAAAATGCAGAGGTCTCTCCCTGCAGGCCCAAGTAACTTTGCCTTTGAGTTGGGATGGCTGGCCCCAAGCTGGCCTAGCACAGCACAGGTGGAAGGCCTGGTCCCCACCAAATTTCCCGCTAGGCCTGAGTCCCCCCCCCCCCCCCCCCCCGAGTAAACTCCTGGGCACCTGGGAAGGGAGTGAACAGCTGGCTTGGACCCCAGGGTCAAAAGTCAGTCTGTTTGTAGGACCTCAGGCCCAGACAGGTGAGGTCTAAAACCAGGCAGGAAGGAGGTGGGCCGAGTTAGGCACAGGGGAAACCAGGACCTGGGAAAGGGCTCTCTAGTTCCCAGGAAGAGGGCAAGTAGGGCAACTGGCAACTGAGTTTTATAGACATGCCTTGGTGACAAGTGGGTAAGAGCACACCTACGTGGCTTTGGATTCTTCCTCCCCTGTATTGCTGCTACCATCAGGAGCCAGCAGTGACTGGGCCTTTCCTTCCTTCTTGGTCCCCAGTCCCTTCCTGGGGTCTGGGCAAACAAAGTGAGTCTCAGCACCCCTTTAGTGTAGACTTGAAGAAGAATTTCTAGGTGAGGTGAGTGGGCCTGACTGCCGGTAGAATGTGGAGAGGTCAGTTGTAAACAGGGTAGTTACACCTTTGTCCTGAGCCTTCCAGAGTCCACGTCTTCCGGAAGGCCCACCTGTGCAGGAGGACATGTGGCCACAGTGATCTGTTTACCAAGTACTCTTGGCCTCCAGTTTGAGTGATCTTAGAGTGATCTGTGGACCTCTGCTCACCTTTGGAGTTATTAGGGTGGGGCGTGGGGGACCACACAGATACCTTACCTGCTGCTTGACCGTGATGAGACCTGGGACCGCAGTCTTTCTACCTTCTGTGGGGCGTGACCTCGGCAGTGCACAGCCAGCATGGGGGGTGGGGTACTGATCACTGCTGGGCACAGGGCAGAGCTGTGTGGTCGGTCTCTCTCTTCCCCAACCCCATCAGTCCTGGGCTGGCTGCCCGCTCTTTTCCCCACAGAGCTGGGTTTCCCTGGGGACCAGTGGCTTGGCCTAACCCCACACCCACAGCCCCCTCCTGGCCACAACTCACGCTAGAAGGAGGGCCGGACCCTCCTGGACCCTGGCCCTCCCTGCCCTGCGGTCCAAGGCCCAGTAGTCTGTCTCCACTGCTGAGCTGGGAACAAGGAGCAGTGACTCCCTTGGAAGGAGGTAGGTGACTAGGGGTTTCTAGTTAGGGTAGTGGCCAAGGCTGGGACAAGACCCTTGTCATTCCCGTTAGAGGAAGAGGGACTCTGGTTCCTAGGGTTTGGTGCAGACTTGAAGGACTTTCCTAGGAAAATGGAGAGTCCCAGAGTCTCTCTTGGGGGAGAAAGGGGAAGTCTGGGGTCAGGTCTCTGCAGCTGTCAGCTACATAGAGGGTAACAGACACTAGGACACCGAGATAAGGGGAGTGTGAGGTTCCTATGCCTGGAAACCTCAAAGGGAGACAGATGCTTCAGAGTACCCACATCCAAGTTCTGAGCTCCCCACGTAGGACTCTTCCAGTACTCCCGCCCCTCCCCCCCCCCCCCCCCCCCGCCACCAAAGATGCCTCTGACTCTCCCCACACCTTCATCAGTGTCCACACCTGCACCAATGTCCCCTCTCACCTGCAGGCTCTAAAGCTGTCCAGCTGGCATGGCAGCTCCAGCGTCTCTGAGGACCACAGGGGGTTCAGTCCTGCAGGGGACATCGTAGACCTTGGACAGCCGGACAGCCAGACAGCCTGCCATCTGCGCTCCGGCCAGCCAGGCTAGATCTCAGGCCATTCACCATGGGCGGCTGCTTCTCCAAGCCCAAGCCAGGTACCTCCCCTTCTCTGACAGCCTCCCCCTCCCTCTCTGCACTCCACCAACCTCCAAAGTAGGTCAGGCTAGGCAGGAGCCCAGAATGTTAATGCGCTGTAGGCAAGAGGGGCAAAGGCCTAAGAAGGCTCTCCTGGACTCTCCCATGGCAGCCCTTCTTTATTTGGGGCTTTGTGTGTTGGTGGTCGGGACCACAGTCGGTCTCTCTTAGAAAGTGGAGTCTGGAAGGTTGGAGAAGGGGCTACTTCCTCCATCGCTTGAGAAGAGAGGCTCCAGGAATATTCTTAGCTGCAGTGTGAGGCTGTTTCCCTCTCTGCAAAATAGACCTGGACACTGACCTCTCAAAGAGGCTGGTAGGGTATGATGGGCAGGTCTCTTCACCCCGTCACTGTGATAGCCGATGTCATCTCTGGGCCTCATTTCCTTTTTCTGTTTCTTTCTTTCTTTCTTTCTTTTTTTTTTTTGTTGTTGTTTTTGTCTATTTGAGTTTTTGTTTTTTGAGACAGGGTCTCAGTATGTAGACCAGGCTGGTCTCAAACTTACAGATATCCTTCTGCCTGTGCCTTGCAAGTGCTAGGCTTAAAGGCATGCACCATTGTGCCCTTTCTCCTCTCCGTTTATATAGGAAATCCTGGCCCTACCGAGCCCTAGAAGCCCCAGCCAGATAGGGTGATTCTGAGGTAGGAGAGGACTTGGGATCTGCCCTGACACTGGACTCAGGCCTTTGAGTTTCTCCCCCAGTCCACACATTCCTTCTTCCCTAGTCATAACCTCCAGGAAGCAGGACCTGTCGCCATGACAGGATGCAGAACCTGAGGGCTTCAGGGCCCAGGCAGTGTTCCACCCACCCCTACCCAGCTTGCCCTGGCTGGGTCACTCTGCCAACTTGTGTAGCTCTCCTTACCTGATACCCAGCAGCTCGGTTACCTTGGGACTCAGACTTTTCTCTTTTTCTTGGGTCTGTGGTAGGATTTGGGGGAAGAGGCAGAGTTGTGACCCACTGGTGGTGGTGGTGGTAACTGTCCTTCCTTGCCTGAGTCTGTACCAGGTCCCTCAGCCTCTGCCACAGGTACCCATTGTCTTGTTCCCCTTCTCGGAGTGGACAGGGATGTACCAGCAAGATTCCACGTGAGTCACATACTGGGTACCTGTGGGACTGCTTGGCTGGCAGGAGCCCAAAGAAACAAGCTATCATCTATAGTTTCTTTTAAATAACCCCAAAGAGCTGGTCTAACCAGGGACCCCTGACTCGCAGACTTTAGATTTAGAGCTAGCCATTGTCCCCTGACCCATCCCTTATCTGCTGCTTTGTTTTGTAACTTTTTTTTTTTAAGGCAAGATCTCATATAGCCCAGGATGGCCTCAAACTCTTTATGGTGTTGGGGATGATCTTGAATTTGTGATTCTCCTACTTCCGCTCCCTTAATTCTGGAATTAGAGGACTGTACCATTAAAAGTTAGTTTATTTAGTACTAGGTATAGAACTCAGGCTTTGGGAACGCCAGGCAAACGCCATAATTCCTTCTTGATTTTTTCAAACTTATTTTTATTATTTTAAATTGGGTGGAGTCGATGGGGTGTGTGTGGGTGTGTGGGTGTGCTTGTGTGTACACACAGTGCAGGTGCATGCAGAGGTCAGAAGACTCAAACCCCTGGATAGGGTTATAGGCTGTTTGGAGCCACCTGATTTGGGCGTTGGATCTCAAACTCTGGAGGAACAGTATGTGCTCTAGCTCTGGTTTTGTTTGTTTGCTTGCTTTTTTTAAAAAAGGATCTATTTATTTATTTACTTATTTGGTTTTTGTGTAGCAGCCTTTGCTGTCCTGGAACTCCCTCTGTAGACCAGGCTGGTCTTGAACTCAGAGATCCACCTGCTTCTGCCTCCTGAGTGCTAGGATTAAAGATGTGCGCCACCACGCCTTGCTTTTTTTATTTTATGTATGTGAGTGGTTTGCTTGCATGTGTGGAAGTGCATAGCCTGTGTGCAGTGCTTGTGGAGGCCAGAAGAGGGCATCTAACTCCTGAAACTGGAGTTACTGGTGGTTAGTTGTAAGCCATGGTGTGGGTGCTGGAAATCAAACCTGGGTCCTCTGCAAAAGCAGCAAATACTCTTGACCTCTGAGCTACCACCCCACCCCCTTTTGGTTTGTTTGTTTGTTTGTTTGTTTATTTATTTATTTATTATGTATACAATATTCTGTCTGTGTGTATGTCTACAGGCCAGAAGAGGGCACCAGACCTCATTACAGATGGTTGTGAGCCACCATGTGGTTGCTGGGAATTGAACTCAGGACCTATGGAAGAGCAGGCAATGCTCTTAACCTCCGAGCCATCTCTCCAGCCCCCCCCCTTTTGGTTTTTGATTTGTTTGTTTGGGGTTTGTTTTGTCTTGTCTTGTTTTTCGAGACAGGGTTGCTCTATAGCTTTGGAGCCTGTCCTGGAACTAGCTCTGTTGACCAGGCTGGCCTCAAACTCACAGAGATTTGCCTGCCTCTGCCTTCCAAGTGTTGCAATTAAATGGGTAAGCCACCACTGCCTGTCTCAGTGCCCTCCTTTTAAAAAAGACAGAGTTGTACAATTTAGCCCTCAATGACTGTGTAGACTAAGCCAGCCCAGTGCTGTGAGCCTCCCCCAGGCTGGGCTCACAGACCGTGCTCATAACACCCAGTTTATGTTTATAAATCTTTGTATTTTAAAGGAAGGGAAATTGATCTTGGCTTACAGCTTGAGTGTACACATTTTAACCTGGTGAAGGTCTGGCTTTGTGGTGGTGGTGGGAACCTTCAACAGCTGGCTACATCTGTTTTTCCCTTTCCCCAGAATGTTACTGTGTTTCTTACTACTCAGAAGACAACGGTAAAAGTTGGGCCTTTTAATCTCCTACCTGTGTGACCACGGCCTGATTACCCCCTCTCTCTGGTCCGCCATGTCCTTATGTAGGAAATGGGGTGGCTGTGCCGGCCTCTGAGCCTGGCATGAAGCACTCGTAGGTATGATTGTGTTCCTTCCTCTCTGAGGTGGATTCTGGGTTACAGCCACAGGCTCAGGCTCCAGTCAGGGCTGAGGCTCAGGAAATTTCAGGATGTGGGCATGTGTGTGGGACGTGGGCATTCAGCAGCAGTCAGCAGGGGCTATGATGAGACCAGTGCACGTAGAAAAATTTTTAAATTGATTTTTATTGAGCTCTACATTTTTCTCTGCTCCCCTCCTTGCCCCTTCCCTCCCCTTAAACCCTCCCCCAAAGTCCCCATGCTCCCAATTTACTCAGGAGGTCTTGTCTTGTTCTACTTCCCCTGTAGATTAGATCTATGTAAGGCTCTCTTAGTGTCCTCATTGTTGTCTAAGTTCTCTGGGATTGTGGTTTGTAGGCTGGCTTTCTTTGCTTTATGTTTAAGAACCACCTATGGGTGAGTACATATGATAATTGTCTTTCTGTGTCTGGGTTACCTCACTCAAAATAATGTTTTCTAGCTCCATCCATTTTCCTGCAAAATTCAAGATGTCATTGTTTTTTTCTGTTGTGTAGTACTCCATTGTGTAAATGTACCACATTTTCCTTATCAGTTCTTCAGTTGAGGGGCATTGGGGTTGTTTCCAGGTTCTGGCTATGACAAACAAAGCTTCTGTGAACATAGTTGAGCACATGTTCTTGTGACACGATTGAGCATCCTTTGGATATATGCCCCAAAAGTGGTATTGCTGGGTCTTGAAGAAGGTTGTTTCCTAATTTTCTGAGAAATCGCCACACTGACATCCAAAGGGGTTGTACCAGCTTGCATTCTCACCAGCAATGCAGAAGTGTTCCCTTTTCCCCACAACCTCTCCAGCATAAGTTGTCATCAGTGTTTTTGATCTTGGCCATTCTTACAGGTGTAAGATGGAATCTCAGAGTTTTTTTGATTTGCATTTCTCTGATGGCTAAGGATGTTGAACATTTCCTTAAGTGTCTTTCAGCCATTTTAGATTCCTCTGTTAAGAGTTCTCTGTTTTGGTCTGTACTCCATCTTTTTATTGGATTATTTGTTCTTTCGATGACCAATTTCTTGAGTTCTTTGTATATTTTGGAGATCAGACCTCTGTCTGATGTGGGGTTAGTGAAGATCTTTTCCCATTCTGTAGGCTGTCGTTTTGTCTTGTTGACCGTGTCCTTTGCTTTATAGAAGCTTTTCAGTTTGAGGAGGTCCCATTTATTAATTGTTTCTCTCAGTGTCTGTGTTGCTGGGGTTATATTTAGGAAGTGGTCGCCTGTGCCAGTGTGTTAAAGTGTACTTCCCACTTTCTCTTCTATAAGGTTCAGTGTGGCTGGCTTTATTTTGAAGTCTTTGATCCATTTGGACTTGAGTTTTGAGCATGGTGATAGATCTGGGTCTATTTTCATTCTTCTACAGGTTGATATCCAGTTATGCCAGCACCACTTGTTAAATATGCTTTCTTTTTTCCATTTGATATTTTTTGCTTCCTTGTCAAAAATCAAGTGTTTGAAGGTGTGTGGATTAATATCTGAGTCTTCTACTTGGTTCCATTGCTCCTCCTGTTCGTTCTTATGCCAATACCAGGCTGTTTTCAGTACTGTAGCTCTGTAGTAGATTTTGAAGTCAGGAATCGTGAACATAGAAAACCTTTGTGCAAATTCCCCCCTTTGCTGCTCTTCAGGGCTGTGTCTTAGTGTTGTCAGTATTTGCCTCCTGAGTCTCTCCTGTCGTGTTCTGGAGGGTCTTTGTTCTTGGGACAGGGTTCTCAGTGTAGCCCTGGCTGGCCCGGAACTTGCTCAGTGGACCAGGCTGCCTTTGAACTCACAAAGATCTGTCTGCCCCTTCCTCCCGAGTACGGGGGTTAAAGGTACCCAACATCATGTTCTTTATTCTTCCTAAGACTTTAAGCCAGTTGCTTCCCTATGTCAGAACTGGTAGGAAGTGGTCTGAGATGATGGCTCAG